CGTAAAAGATATAAGATAATTGTTATCATGTGAGAAAAGATAAGATATGTATTATACAATAATATACATTCTTTATATATAACATTATAATAATATAATTGTGTTTTATTTACCTTTATTTCTTTTTTTTCTATGTTTAATAACTTAATCACTGGAAATTACAAATGTTTATGTTACTTAGACAAGAAACTTGTAGAATAATAAAAATTAAAAAATATATAAAAATATTAAATTATTAATGAAATAAATTAAACAGAAATTATTTACCTTTATTTTAATGAACTATTATTTATCCAATGAAAACATTTTTATTAAAAGATTACAAATTTCTATTTCTATATCAACATATTTTTATAGTTTACTTTGTATATTAATTTAAATGGACATGTATATTAAAAAGAGGAACATTTTTATTTATGTTAAGAAAAAGATTAAATAATGTACTCTTACGTCATATAGAAATTCATTTATTTATGAATTTTTCTTTATAAGAATTATTTTTTAAAAACATTAATTGGTTGATATTTTTTATAATACATCTAATTAAAAAAATTTTATAAATTGTTAAAATGATTTAATCATAATTTTTATTATTAATAAGCGATGTATTTACCTTCTACAGAATATCTTGATAAGAAAAAAAAAAAATAAGAAACACAATAAGATAAAAATAACGAACCTAGAGTGATATGAAATTGGTACACAGATTATTACTACTCAATTAAATGTTGTTTAAAATACTTTGAAAATTCGATTAATGTAAGATAAAATGTGTCATGAAAAATCATGATTTATGTATAGATATTTTTTTTTTACAGGTGTTTTTTGTTTAATTTTGGTCATAACCATGACTATTAAAATTATCGCCACATTAGCTTTTTCTGTATATAAAAAGATGAACATTTCGGGAACGACAGTATAATTTCGATTGAATTAATAATAAATACTCATATATAAAAATGGCTAAATTTCAACTCTTACTTGCTTTTCTTTTCGTAACCATTGTAACAATCTCAGCTATGGCAATCGATGGTAAGTAATTCAACAAAGTCATAGAAATTATTAAATTATATTAAATAATTTATTTTTTAATATATTTCAAGTACCTATAAAGATTTAACCCTTTGATTACACATTTATTTGAAAACTACTTTTAAATATTATAATAATTTAAATTAATATTAAATATAATAATTAATTATACGAATATAAAAATTATAAACAAATGCATGACGTACTGATACGTCAAATGTAACCAAAGAGTTAAAATAAGAAATATATATATATAAATGAAATGTATAAATCTTGCATAAAATATGACACTTTTTTAGATTCACAAGCTGGTTCACAAGAAGGTTCTAATGTGAACCAATCAGATGAGTATTGGCCTTGTGAGAATCCTGATAAAATTGCATGCTCCGCAAGCTGTACTTTCCAAGGACATTGGAAAGGTGGATATTGTAATGAAGATCGTGTCTGTATTTGTAACTGATATATTAAGATAAACAAAATAACTTTTCTATTACTTTTGTTAATTAATTACTCTAAATATTATAATGTAAATTTAGTGTAATTTTACATGTTTCGGATAATAATTCTGTCAAACGAACAAAGAAAAATTTGCATAAAGTTAATAGCTAATTTAATTGTATTTTTAAAATACCTAATATCTTGATAAATATAATTGCGTTTATATATTGTATATATTAATATAATTACAAAATATAATTACGTATTTATACTTATAATTATATTTTAATTATAAGTATAAATACAGTTATGTATTCTTCGGATATAATATTCTTGATATATATAATATATAAATATAATATAAATTATATTATATATTATATAAATACAAATTAAATTAAATTAATTATATTAAAATATAAAATAATTAAATTGATTATTAAAAACAATATATATATATATAATGTAGAATATAATATTTTTTATATAATACATATATTTAAAAAAAAAATAACTTATTAGAAAGATTTAATTATAATTTAAGTCACTATAGCAAACTGTTTTAATAAGTTTGGATTTTTTAACTAAATGTGTTGGTAATAATGACGTAGCTTTTGCCTAATCAAATCTTAAAAAATTAATCGAATATCTGATAATCGTTGTATCTAAAAAAAAAAAAAAAAAAAAAAAAATAAAATAAACTAATATTTATCTACGAAAATAATACAATAAAAAAAAATAAACACGTCATTTCCGTTGTTTTTGGCTTTTAATTAGGTAATCGATAAGGAACAAATTTTATCGAAAGATAAAGTAACTTTTTATAACATTAAATTATTATCACTGACCTAACAAATTAGGTTAAATAAATAGATATATTGTGAAATTCATAAAAATAGACCTAGTATAGTTATACATAGTTATGTAAATGATAGATAATATTAGTTTATCATTGAATGTGAATTATCCATTAATTTTTGTGACTTATAATTATCTACATAATAATTATGCTATTAATATTAATATCTATTAATATTATTTATTTTACTGATTTTTATTAAACTTGCAATATATTTGTATTTAGTATATTATATTAATTATAATATTAATTATAATTTTTATTATATTAGTAAATGATGTATTTAATTTTTTTTACAAGATATTCTGATAAGAAAAAGAAAAAGAAAAAGAAAAACGCAATAAGATAAAAATAAAGTACGAAGAATGATATCAAATTGGTACAAAGATTATAACTATTCCATTAAATGCTGTTGAAAATATTTCGAAAACTCGTGTAAAGTACGATGTGTAAAACGTCTTGTGAAATCGTAATTTATGTATAGATATTTGATCTACAGGTGTTTCTTGTTTAACTTCGATCTTTACTATAATGACTATTTACATTATCGCCATTTTAGATTTGTCTGTATATAAAAAGATGAACATTTTTACTGAACGATAGTATATAGTTTCGATTGAACTAATAATAAATACTCATTAGATAAAAATGGCAAAATTCCAGTTACTTTTTGTTTCTCTCTTTGTAGCATTTATGGTGGTCTCAGCATATCCAACTTTTAGTGAGTGATATATAATTATAAAAAAAAAGCTTTTCAAATAAAATTAATAAATATAATTTTCACAAAGAAATAGAATTAAAGTTAAATGAAAATAATGAAAAAAATTAAAAATATGACTAATTTTTTAGATATAAATCAAACTACCGAAGAATTGGAAAAACCTGAATGGGTTTGTGCATCTTATGGTGATTTTGGATGCGGTTTAAATTGTGCTGCTCATTTTCATTTCAAGGGTGGTTTTTGTAATAAAAACAAAGTCTGTTTATGTAACTAATTTAATGAAAGATAAAAGATAATTAAACGTATTGGAATTTGACAACCAAAATTACACTGTATATTATTATAACGTTAGAGGTAAATCTAATTTATTTTGTATACGATAAATCTAATTAAATAAATGAATGACTGTTAATATTATAATAATCAAATTTACGACACTCAGGAAATTTGATAAATTCAATCCAATGGATTTTATATCTCACATTCGATATACAATATTTAATATTAATCTTTGATAATAAATAATTATTTTGTAATTAATAATACCTTCTTATTATTATCATTTTTCTAAGCAATCAAATTACGAGAAAAAAAAAAGAATACTCTCGTTTATAATTTAGAAAACGAGTTGTTGTCGAAAAAAAAAAAAATAGGAAAAAGATAAGAAATCATAAGATTAGACCAATTTCTATCTGATCTGTATCTGTATTTATTGTTGAACAATCTCGCACGAGTAATCACGTCTAATGTCATTTATTGACACATCCTGTTACACACTTGGGAAATCCAAGGTAACGAACTACGCACGTACACGTTCTGCAATTACGCGAAATTACGAACAGACAGCATCCACCGTGAAATTTGTCTTACAGCTAATATATTCTTAAATTACTGGTTCACTGACTCTGTTTTTTTTTTTTTAATCAACGATGTATTAATCTAAAAAGTTAAAATAAATTTTTTTAATTTTACGAGAATTCTTTCTTTCTTTCTTCTCTCTTTGTCACGCTTACATGAACTATATATAAAAAATTATATATGAAAAAATAAATATAATAGAATATATATTGTTGTAAATAAAAAAATAGTTAATATAAGAAATAAAAAAATTGTTATTTTTATAATAATAAAATATAGTAATAAAAAAATAATAATAAAATATTTTTATTATTTTTTTTTTATTATTTTAAATTATATATATTTTATAGTATATTATATTATAATGTATATTATATATATAAAATAAAAAAAAATATATTTTATATTATCTATAAAATATATATAATATTTTATTTTATTAATTATTCATATTATCTATAAAATACATATAATATAAAAATAATAATATATATAAAATATAATTATAGAAAATAAAGAAAATGATATATTATCTGAAATATAATTAATTAAAATAAAGAAAAGATTCTTTTATGATCATAGAAAAAAATATTTATTCCATAATAAATGAATAATCATCCTAATAAAAGTTTGAAAGATAATTGTTATCAAACGATAAATATTATATTTATCATAAACCGTAATATATAGTTTTCTAATTTATTATATCGTTATACTTACAATTAATATTCTAGATACGTTATTACAGCTTATACAGATGTTAACGACCCATACAAATCAACGAATGACTTCATCAATGAATCATTTATGTATCTTACATTCTTCTGACAAGTAAAAATAAACACATGTATATCTGTATGATAAATATAGCATAAGAATAAACATAAGGAAATGCATGAAGAATTATTTTAATAATCAATGGGCTTTACCCATTATCTCAACAGGAAAATCCATGTTTTTCTTAATACAAGGGGAATCACCGTTTACTTTTTCATATTCGTCAAGAGATAAAGGATTTTTATATTGACATAATGTTACATGGTACATTGTATATAAAGACCTGTATATAAAAAGAAACGAATTAAAGGAAGCTGCACACTTGACTTCGATAATTTTATCTAATAACATTACGAATCTTTCGTAAATTATTTAAAATGACAAAACTCTGTATTATTCTTTCTATTTTATTCGTCATAGTTGCGGTCAATATGGCTGCTCCTGTAGAAGGTAAATTATTTATTATGTGATAATAATTTAAAGAAATATATTATAAAATAGAACTTATATAGTTATTTATTACTTCAATAAATGTAATCATAAAAATATCTGAACGAATAAATAAATAATAATGAACATTTTCAGATGACAGATTAGAAAACTTAATGGAACTCGATGATGAATTCAGAGAGGACATGGTCGAGGAACGAGCTGATAGACAACGTCGAGTGACCTGTGACCTTTTATCCTTTGGTGGGATGATTGGTTCATCGGCTTGTGCGGCTAATTGTCTTTCCATGGGAAAAGCTGGAGGATATTGCAGCAGTGGTATTTGCGTGTGTCGCAAGTAAGCCTCGTTTTCTTTTATTTTTCTTAATTAATCATTATAAACTTATTATTGTGTTCTTCTCTAAAAAAAAAAAAAAGAAAAGAAAAAAAGATCTATTAATTTCTTGTCACTAATTTCCTTCCTTTTTTTTGCTTTCAGAGATTCTTTCAAGGATTTGTGGAATAAACGATTTGGTTGAAATCAACAAATATTTCTATATCGTCTACATTCAACATTTTGATAATTTAATGTATCACTTTTTCTTGTAAAAATACAAATACTAAAAAAATATATGTATCTTTATATATAAAAATTCAGTATTACAATGTTTGTCCAATAATAATTTCGAAACTACAGAATCGATCTTATTGAAATCTTTTTTATTTTGTGCAATTTTTTTCAATTTAGAATATAGGATAGTTTTTATTGCGATTATTTTTTAGTTTCTATTGCTAATTTAAGGATTTATTAATTAAAGCTTATCTAAGTCTTTAAGTTCTGTAAGTTTTCAATAGATGGCGCTGTATTACAATTCAATTATTTCAATTTACATACGACATAATCTTACTTTTTCTATTTTTTTTTTCATGTATTATTATTTTATTTATTTCATTCTAATTGTGGTATTATTTAGTGTGCTTTTATAATTTACCAAATAGTTTCAAATTATATTAAATCGACATTTTATAACAAAGCCACAGCAACGTGTGGTCAGAGCATCTTAGTATGCTATATATATTTTTCTTCTTACAATTTTCGAGTCTATTTTATAATAACCTAATTTGATTTTCCTGTTTTTTTCTTCTACTTTTTATTTCAAAACTTTCATCAAACTTTTTCCTATCAATCGAACGCAGCTCTCTCTCTCTCTCTCTCTACTTTCTTTTTTTCTCTCTTTCATTCTCATTTAGATTTTAATGAGCTTTTTTTCCGAATGGTCATCAAAATGAGTTCGATCTTATTATATCATCAAACTTAAACGTTTATACACACATATATATATATATATATATATATATATATATATATATATATATATATATTATATCTACAAATGTGATATATGAGAAAAGCGAATAGAATTTTGCGACGAGAAGATGTATTGAATCCAATAAGAGAGACACAGAGAGAGAGAGAGAGAGAGAGAGAGAGAGAGAGACAATTATAAAAAAATAATGAAAAAAAAAAACAGGGAGAACGATCAAGAAACCAATAATGCTTTGTACTTTAATGTACACTTAAAAATTCGAGATATGATAGTTTTGTTGTTCGATTTTTTTCGACTCGCAATTATTGAAACCTCTTTCCCCCTTTTTTTTCCCCCTTTGTTTCTAGAAATTGGACCTGTAACTGACTGGATCAGATTGCTTCCTGCACTGATGATGATTCCTATGAACTCTTTCGACTGAAGGGTCCTAGAGGATCACACAAATACGCCTGCGATACGCACTTACGAGTCTTTCCGAGCTTTCATTAAAAATTCGACTCTTTGCGGGATCCTGTTAGTCCTGTATTTCCTCTTATTCTCCTTCCCCCCTCCCTCTCTACCACACCCCTATCACCATACGTCCGTCTATCTATATATTTTTATCTCTCCCTCTCTCTCTTTTTTTCTTTCTTCCTTTCTCTTTCTTTCTTTCATTTCACATTTCCTCGTCTCGCCATATTTCATTTGCATGAATACTCACATACATATATATATATGGATATGTATTCCCATGCAACCAGTTTCATAGTGGTCATATTCCTGACTGCTGCGTATCATCGCAGTTTTATTCGTTTGCGTCGTCCAACCAGATGCTTTTGAAAATTATTATTATATTTTTTTTAACTTGATACGCACGTGGTTCTAATAAAAAATTCCATCTTCAACGACAAATATTATTGATTAGCAAGCGTACAAAATTTTGTTGAATAAAAATTAAATCATCATATCTTTCTTTTTTCTCTCTTGAAATTGTATTTGACGATCAAGGAGATGGAAACTGAAAAAAAAAGATCGTCAGAGAATATTTGAAAGGAATTACAGCTTTCTCCTGATAAATCGATCTCGACAGATGACATCAACTATTATTTTATTTACGTTTCATTCTCGAGTTTTAAATCCGTTACATTGTTAAATGACATTTTCACGTCTCTCCTATAGTACGAAACTGTGAAAAGAAAAAAAGGGACGTAACTTCGAATTTTGTATTCTATACCATTTCCATTTTGAACTTTTATTATTCTCAATAATGTTGTTATCTTATCAAAATATATGTTTCTTTATGGATTAATATGAAATAAAAATCAATTTAAAAAGAAATTTCATTCGGTTTACCTTTGAACTAAATCATTCTCAAATTTATCATTGTATAATATTTTGGGTTATATTTTTTATTTATAACTTTGTGTTCTCATGTTAGAATATTACACGTATAGAAAAAAAGAAAAAATGTGAACATTTCTATTCCTATTTTATTCATTGTCAATGAAAGAAGAAAAATAATAACGTGATATCGATGAAAAAGAAGGCGTCAACAAAATTAAAAGGTATAACATGACCACCAAAGAGTGTTATTGAATTTCACTATACAGGATCACATACTACTACTCGATGCTATTTCCGATAGTAAGTATTATACTATAGTATACGTGGCTTTTGCGTGTTGTATACTTTTCGCCGATCGTAATGGACCACTGATGTAATGGATTATATCTCCCCGTGAGTGGGCTTTTATAGTTTCTCTCTTCGTTTAAATGTGTCACACAATTGTATCGTGAAAGGGTGATAATGCATACATAATGGGAGAAAGGGATTCGATACGCCATCGGAATGTCTCGTTTCAAGTATTAATTTCTTATTGATTTTACCAACGAATGGATTTTCTGCAATTCTTTTTTTCCTTTTCTTCTTTTTTATTATCTTCGTCGATTATCTTTACATTTTATTTAAATAGGATTCTAACGGTAAAATTTAATTACGATTTTTTTCTTTACGTTGAAATTTTAACCACACCGACTAACGGTAAGCCGTGAAATTTCTTATCGCGAAAATGTATTATTTTTAAATTTTATATTATAACTTGATTTATTTTTTTTTTTTTTAAATACGTACATTGCGTATTTTTAATGTACTATAATATAATAAATCAATACACGGATTAAAAAATAATATATGTATATCTATTTAAAACGTTCATATGTAGCAAACGATGAAGTAGAATTGATCGCAATCCTACTACAATATTCCGTGCTTTTCTAAGAGATGTCGTTACTGGATAATTCTAGTAATTTTTTTATCACTAATTATAACAATAATTATGTATTAGACTATTAAATATATATATAGATTATGTGTGTCCTAGTTAATTGACAAAATATAATTTGTAATAGAGTTTGTAACACTTCTTGTAATCTATGTCTAAAGTATATAGATATTTCATCGATTAAAATAAATATCAGTTTTATCATCAATATATTTTGTAATATAACTTTAATTGTAACGTTCTATTTTATTACAAAATATTAATATTGATAACAACTAATATCGGATGGAGATATAATGAGACAATAGCCATGACGCGAGTTGCAATTTCAAAATTCAAACGTCAATTTTCCAATCATTTTTTAATAATACTACGAACCCTTCACTATCGGATGTAATTAAAATACTTGTTGTACGTGAAATTTCGTGCTCAGACACTTTAACTAATTCGAAACAAAGTGGCAATCGAATTACGAAAGTATCTTCCTCTTTTGTAATTGGTCAATAATTTTCAAGTTCTTTATCAAACGCGATGATTAATATTTAATGAAAACGAACTAAATTACAGATAAGCAAAAAACAAATTCAAAACAATTTATTATTTCATAGAATCGTATCAAAAAGTCTTAAAAAGTCGAAAGAAACTTTGTAATGTATCCAAATAGAGAATAATAAAGTTCAAGTGAAAATTAAACTCGTGACCTGGTGTAGTAGTTGTCTAGTGCTATAGAAAATAAAGTCAATTATAAAGTTTTCCCACGATAAACAAAGTACGATCCATATTATTTTTAGAACTACGTGAAATATATTTACCTATAAAAAAAAAAAGAAATAAAAGAGTAAAGTTGAATTGTTGAAATTGTTTAAATGTTTTCTTTTCAATTGCTATCAATCTTCATTACTTTATTGCACCAAAATTTTCTCGTAATGGGAAAAACGATTGTACGGTTAATGTCTATACTTTGAAACAAAAAATGGATAGCAATGATAAAGATGAATCACTAATCTCTAACCACTCAAAAAAGAATGCTTAGCAATTGGTAGAGAATTTCTAGGATTCTAGAATTAGCAAATTACGCACGCGTAATACTCTCGACAAGCCGATCGTTCAACCAACCTCAGGATAAACGCAATTTCCTCTAAGAGAGGCTAATGCAGGAGTTAGTAGACGGGCTACGCTTTAGGTCACGACATAATCCGATTTTCCCTAGCGTTAATTCGCGTACCGGTCGAATCTAGCATGTAACCGTACGTTGGTCGCATTATTTCCAACGTAAGCACTTGTTTCGAGAGCACTATAGTCCCCTTCCTCTTCGAACATTCATCCTTACGATCCTCTTCTATCCAATGAATTGAATACATCTTTGTCAAATTCGTACGTGATCGTATTATTGATATTTGAGATGCTCTTTAAAATTGTTATCATCTTTCGACTTAATTTATTTTTTCAAATAAAACACATTTTTATGTTTAGCTATCTACGAAATGTTTTATTAACATTTAAACGAAAAAAAGAGATGTTTACGAGGAAAAAATGTAACCATTTGTAAAAAGTACTTTTCCTTCATGGATCCAACGAGGTATACATATATATATATATATATAGTCAAATTTTCTAATAACAATTTTCACAAGTATCGCTACTCTATTTCAATTTATTTTATTTCGATAGGAACACATTTCTATCGTGTATATCATATCACGCTTTTATATTTCTTTATCACATTTTTATTTATTGTATATATATAAATTCATTTTTAATAGCGATAAGAAAAAAATATAAAACAATCAAATCAATTGAGACGAATTATCCTGTATGAAAAGAAAAAAAAAAATTAAAACGTAAAATATATTTTTTAAAGGATCTTTTAAATGGGTTAAAAATTTCTAAACGATGGGGTAAAGTTGTCCTGTTGCGCGTTGTCCCGAAATAATCGGCCATTTACTCGTACCCAATCTCCGGTCCAATACTCTCTCTCTCTCTCTCTCTGGTGATGCTGGGTCCACTCTCCTGTTCATTCTCG